CATAGTATTTTTTTAAGAGTTGCTTAAATTTTTATTGTAGTTTTTTTGTAATAAGTATATATAACAAAACATTTGCCATTTCAACATTTTTTGCATGCATAATTCAGTGACATTAATTACGTTCACCATGTTGTGTAGCCATCACCACTCTCTCTTTTCAGTTTTCTATAACCTTTATCAGAATCTCGGTGCCCCCTATACACATAGTATTTTTATCCACAAACTTGGGTTCACATTACACATATGCTGTTTTTTTATTTGAAGTAAAATTTGAACAGCACCATGCCATTAAATATATTTCTTCAAATAATTTTCATTTTCATATAATATTCTACTCTGTAGACATAGCCTAAATTTTTTTTCCTTGAGTGTTTCAACTTATCCTGTATTGCTGAATATTTATATTGTTTCAAAGTTCTTTTCTATTGTAAATAATGTTGCAGTGAACATCATTTAAACAAAATTTTGTGCATATTCATGTTTAAGATACATTTCTTCTAGAACTGGAAATTTTGATCAAAATGTTTAAACATTTTTTAAGTTTTTTGATATCAATTGCAAAGCCTCCCACCGCCAAAAAGCTGTATCAATTAATACTCTTTTAATCAGTGTGTGTCTCTATTTTTTAAATAGTTGTTTCTTCTCCCTTTATAATCTTTCTTTTTACTAGCAATCTTCATTTCTGATTTTCTCTCATCTTCTTTTTGTATTCCCTTATCAACCTCTATTTGTTAAGTTTTAAAATGATCATTACATAAAATCTATCTTTACAGCGTCTTTAAGGTTTTGTTGAAAGTCTACAGAATCCTCATGAAAGAGAATCCTGCTTACTCAAAGATTGAGAACTCACTAAAAAGCAATAAATATTTGCTGGATAAAGGAAAAATTATTTCTTCGGTACCTGAGTGTCCAATACTGCATTAATGACCCTAGTGGATGCCTAAGAAGCGCGAAGTGTGACCCTCAGGGGTTTCATGTTCTTAGTTGGGGAAACACAACGAAGCTCACATATTCTACAGAGCAGAATTTTCTTAACCTTTTTAGTCCCATGCCCACCAAAATACTTTCTTATTTTCTTCTGTGTATCACTCCACTCACTAGCCAAGAAGATTTTGCCCTGTTCTGTAGTTTGTATTGTAAACTACAGAAATAGGTGCATTGAACATGTTCTTTCAAACTACCTGTACACATAGACACATCCTGGGCCTTCCCTCCCCAGTGGAGAATCACTGCATTAGTGAATCGTCCAAAGCCAAATTTACTATAAGGCCTGACTTGATAAGGCCTAAGTTCAAATATTTCTTTTGTAATTAAGGACTTTTCTACAGTACAAAAAGCCTCAGACCCTGGCTGGATTTTTGCCTCCTTTTCCTCTTCTCTAAACTACCCTGATCCTGTCAGCCACAGTAATCTGCTACAGCCTCAGGGCTTGTTACTTCTCCTGCTGTGAGCCTGTCCTGGCTCGCCTCTTCCATGAGGAGCTACACCAGCATCCCTGCTCCCTCCTTGTTTTGCTCTTTACATAACACCTAGCCTATTCTATGATTCCAAACATCGTGCTTTAAAGGTTGAAGTTATGCCTTTGTCCCAATAATTTGCTTTCCACTCTGCCTGTCACTCTCCCCATCCCTGCATTGCTCCCTTGTCATCCACAGCTCCTCACAGACTTGATGGCCTAACCCTTGCTGGTATTGGGTCCCCATACATTCTATTGAAGGAGCCCTCGTGGCAAAACGGTTAAATGTTTAGCTGCTAACCGAAAGAAAGGTTGATGGTTCAAACCCACCCAGCAGGTCTGCAGGACAAGGATCTGGTGATAAGCTTCTGTAAAGATTATATCCAAGAAAACCATATGGGGAAGCTCTGCTCTGTCACATGGGGTCGCTATGAGTTGGAATCGAGTTGATGGTACCCAACAACAACCATCTTCTCTTGACCCAGTGTAGAGAACAGTGCTTGACCAATAAATAAATTAATATTTTTTTAATAAATAAATGAATGAATGGATGAATTGGAAGCATTCTCTTGCTTGAATTTGAATTTATGTTTTGAGTTTAGTTGACACTTGTTAACCATAGTCATGTTTCACTTGTCTTTCTTCCTCCTCTCCTGCCCTAGGTTTCTTGTTTTTGTTTTCTAGTTTCTCTACGTGAAGTACTATACTAAACACTTTGCATATGTTATTTCTAATCTTCACAACAATCTTGAAGACAGGTGTTACCATCTTGATTTTACATATGAGGAAACTGGAAGTTCAAAACGTTCTTTAATTTCTCCAGAGTCACTCAGCAGATCAGTGGTTGACCTGGTCTGCTGGATCAGGTTCATGGAACCACTCACAGGCAGAGTCACAAATGCCTGACTTTATCTCTGAGGTTCCAGGACTTTCCTCTTCTGACCTTGTCATTACCCTGATCTTATTCTAATTGATCATCACCACTGTTGCCGGAACCCCGGTTGAGACAGAAGGAGTGATGGGAAAAGGGCAAACCTGAGCGGCCTTGCCCAAGCTGACATAGAGATTGAAGCTAGGAACTGATCAAGATAGGAGAGCCAAAGATATATCCACATCTTCAACCTGAGTGAGTACAAGAGTGGTGGTATCACTAAAAGAAATGGGAAGTCTAATTCCTGTGGGTCATTAAATCAGATCATGGTTTGAGTTCCAGTGACTTCATTTGCTGGTTAATCATAGGCAAGATGCTTAGCTTCTCTGAGCCTCAATTTCCTCATCTTTTCTCTAAGCATAATCATACCTAACTCTCATATTTGTCATTGAGTTGCTGATCAAATAATGCAATACATATGAAGTGCTTTGCAAAGGGATAAAGCCATATATACACATATATAAATATATATATATAAATTAGCTGTCATCACTATTGTGAGATATATTATTCTATTGTCAGATATATTATTACCAGAGTCAGACTGTAAATGGAGACGCCAACTTCTTGGGTCAAGTATGCCTATGCCACGGGTTAGCAAACTACAGCCCACCAGCCAAACATGGCTGCCTGTTTTTATATGGCTTGTGAGCAAAGAATGGTTTTTATATTTTAAAATGGTGCAAAATAATAAAATAAAAATATTGGTGACATGAAAATTACATGAAAAAATTTAAATTTTATCATTCATAAACTTTATTGGAACACAGCCACTCATTTGTTTATATATTGTCTAGGGAGAGCTTGGCTGCTAACCAAAAAGTCGGCAGTTCAAATCCACCAGCTGCTCCTTAGAAACCCTATGGGGAAGTTCTACTCCTTCCTATAGGGTCACTATGAGTCGGAATTGACTTGACAGCAATGGATTTGGTTTTGGTTTAGGGCTGCTTTTGAGCAACAACAGCAGAGTTGAGTAGTTTTGATACAGACCATGTGGCCCCCAAAGCCTAAAGTATTTACTGTCTGACCCTTTACAGAAAAAGTTTGCTGGCCCCTAGTCTACACCTTTTGGGAGTCATCTTTGGGTCTGCCACTCTGTTTCTTTCCCTTCCCATTTGTTGAACCTCCTGAAGAAGAAAGGAAGCTTAAAGAAATATAATAACTCCAAAGTATTTTAAACTGATTTTTGATGTCTGGTAGTAAGGGTAAAATGAAGATGTATTTGTCTTTTCTGTGCTTCTTCAGGCTTTAAACAAATGAATTTTATTCTGTGTTGAAACATTAGTATAACTTTAAAAGGCAGTCAAAGGGAAAAAAACTCCATTACCAACCTCAAATCACCCTTACCATCACCATTCTAACATGTTTTCATTTTGCTGCACACTTCCTTCCATGCTTGACATATGTATTTTCAAATGGTTATAATCATGGGCACATCAGCTGCAAAAGACCTCTTTAAAGTGTTGAAAAGCAAAGATGTCACTTTGAGGACTAAGGTGCGCCTGACCCAAGCCATGGTATTTTCAATCGCCTCATGTGCATGCAAAAGTTGGACAACGAATAAGGAAGACCGAAGAAGGACTGATTGATTTGAATTAGGGTGTTGGCAAAGAATATTGATTATACCGTGGACTGCCAGAAGAATGAACAAGTCTTGGAAGAAGTCAAGCCGGAGTGCTCCTTGGAAATGAGGGTGGCGAGACTTTGTCTCATGTACTTTGGACATGTTATCAGGAGGGACCAGTCCATGGAGAAGGACATCATGCTTGGTAAGGTGGAGGGTCTGCAAAAATGAAGAAGACCCTTGGCAAAATGGATTGACACAGTGGCTGCAACAATGGGCTCAAATATAGCAACGACTGTAAGGGTGGCGCAGTACCAGGCAGTGTTTCATTCTGTTGTACGTGGGGTCCCTATGAGCCGGCACCGGAAAAACATAATCATGGTCTACATTAAATTTCATTGTTGATGTAGTCCTTTTCAGTTAGCTTCCATAAATATTACTTGATCATTGCTTTTATTTTTAATCGTTGTTATGTTGTGTTAGAATGCTACAGTTTGCAAGCTATATACATAATTCAGAAATATTTTCTGTTCTTGCCTTTGGTTAGATTCTTTCTTTTAATATGAATGAGAATGCTTCTCATTGGAGCCAGTGCTGGGCAGTCTTGGCTTGCCCATTGCCCTTTCTTATATTAATCCCTGCTCTCTGGCTTCGATTCAAGTGCTACGTTCCTATTGATCTTAAAACTGAGAAAGATGGGGAGTAAAGCTAAAGAAAAAATATCACATAAACAAATTCTTGGTATTTTAAATGTGATTTCCACTCTTCATTCCCAGACCTTCGCCCAAAGCATTAAAAAATAGTAGAAAAAGCATTTAGCAAACAAAAATATTCTGTTCATCTAATAATGATATGAGGGATATGGTTGTGCTAACTGTTGCCTTCTTAAATAAGTGAGAATAAAAACAAGACCATTACTGTCATATGTTAATACTATTGATCCTTTTACTGTATTTCATACAATAGAACCTTCATTGTGCTATTACGTTAATAACATGAAATATAAGTAAAAAAAGGCTTTTCACATTTTATTCTCTTATTTTTCCTAGTGAGAAGCTGGATGGAAAAACTAAAAGATAAGGTAAGAAAAATATTTTCCTCCTTTGAATATATTTTGCAGGGCATGGCTTTGTTAAACAAAAGATCTCCAGAGTAGTGGAGCTTTAACTTATTAATTTGATTCTTATAATGTATCCAAACATACAGGGCTACTTCCAGGTACCCAGCAAGAAAGAAGGTCTTCCCTTTATTTTTATTTTTTTAATTGTACTTTAGATGAAGGTTTACAGAATAGTTTCTCATTAAACAGTTAGTACATATATTGTTTTATGACAGTGGTTAACAGCCCCACGACATGTCAACACTGTCCCTTCTCAACCTTGGGTTCCCTATTAGCAGCTTTCCTGTCCCCTCCTGCCTTCTAGTCCTTGTCCCTGGACTGTTGTGCCCCATTAGTCTGGTTTTGTTTTATGAGGCTGTCTAATCTCTGGCTGAAGGGTGAACCTCAGGAGTGACTTCATTACTGAGCTAAAAGGGTATCTGGGGGCCATACTCTTGGGTTTTCTCCAGTGTCTGTTAGGCCAGTAAGTCTGGTCTGTTTTTGTGAGTTAGAATTTTGTTTTACATTTTTTTTCCAGCTCTGTCCAGGACCCTTTGTTGTGTTCCCTGTCAGAGGAGTCAGTGGTGGTAGCCGGGCACCATCTAGTATAGTACTGGACTCAGTCTGGTGGAGGCCATGGTAGTTGCGGTCTGTTAGTCCTTTGGACTAATCTTTCCCTTGTATTTTGTTTTCTTATTCTCTCTTTCTCCCGAAGGGGTGAAACCAGTGCAGTATCTTAGATGGCTGCTCACAGCTTTTAAGACCCCAGAGAAGGTCTTCCTTTTAAATTCTATTATTATAGAACACACACACACACACACTAAATCAGTTGCTGTCGTGTGTCAGAGTAGAACTGTGCTCCATAAGGTTTTCAGTGACTGATTTTTCAGAAGTAGATCATCAAGCCTTTCTTCCAAGGCAACTCTGGGTGAACTCGAACCACCAACCTTTCAGTTAGCAGCTGAGCATCTTAACCGTTTGCACCACCCAGGGACTCAGGAAGCACTTTATTCTTTGGAACACCACTCATAAAGGCAACATCTTTTTTTTTTTTTTAAATTATTATTGCAGTTTAGATGAAGGTTTACAGAACAAACTAACTTTTCATTAAATAGTACATATATTGTTTCGTGACATTGGTTACCAACCCTACAACATGTCAACACTCTCTTCTCGACTTTGGGTTCCCTGTTATCAGCCTTCCTGTCCCCTCCTGCCTTCTAGTCCTTGCCGCTTGGCTAGTGTGCCTGAAAGGCAACATCTTGTATACTCAACTGAGTAATATCTCCAGTATATCAAGGTTAAGTTTCTTTTAGGGAATGTCAGGAATACAGTTCTTGTCCCAGTGTAAGGGTCACTTAAGCCTGGTCTTCTGTGTGAGGAAGAAATACCTTGGGTTTTGGAAGGCTTTGGTTCTTCTGACCCAAGGGCCAAAGCTGACGGACTTGATTCAAGAATAAAAGCCTATGGATAGAAAAAAAAAAAAAACAACTCATTGCTGTGGAGTTGATTCCAACTCATAGCGACCCTATAGGACAAGAGTAAAACTGCCCCATAGTGTTTCCAAGGAGCAGCTGGTGGATTTGAACTGCTGACCTTTTGGTTAGCAGGCGAGCTCTAAACCACTGTGCCACCAGGGAACCTGTGGATAGAAAAGGCATGTGTAAACCATAGTGGTTGTGAGACAAAAACACTCTAATACCTGAGCTCTCTCCTTAGAAATTCCTTTACCTTTATGTAGACTTTTATAGTGCCACTACTTAATAAATGTTAATAAGCTGACCTGCAGGAATGGTCAATTATAGACAAATATTTTCCTCTCTTGCTTTAATTCTGCCATCTACATGATTGACAATATTAACTTTCTTCTAGGTTCATATTTTTCATTTTCTTTTGATTTTCAATCCTCTCCAAGCTTTCATTTTTGGTTATCATGTAATTTTAAACTGGAATTACTCATACAAATATTGATGGGTCCTGAATTTCTTGCCGTAGCCTGTGTCAGATTCCATTACTGTAGCCCAGCTCAGATTTAACTGGGGTTTTAGTTAAATGAAAATCTTTTCATCCGCCAGATATTGAGTTACCTCCGATTCACCAGCTTCAGAATATACTTCTGTTGATGGTGGTCCCTACCTTTTCAATTATTTAGGGCCAATTCTTCCCATATTTGAATGATTAATATTTCTTTTACTACAGCTTAATGTTAAAGAATAAAAAAGAAAATATAACATTCCACTTCAATTAAAATTATTAATTCTCCTCACTGTTATTTTTCTGCTTAGTAGAATTCAGTACGTATAGTTTTTGTGAATGAGATTTTGTATTCATATACATTAAAAATGACATTGAAAAATTTTAAGCCTCTTGAGGCAGTGGGGGCCATTTTGGTATGTGTAATGGGTCCAGCTATCCAAAGGAGATAGGATAAGATGAATGGAGTAAGATTTGGGCTAAGAAAAGCTCAAAAGTTTAAAACTGGATATATTTACCCTGGGAACGTTCCTCTTATTTTTCTGTGGAAAATATGATGCAATGAAAATTAAACAGGAATTGGTATGTTAATCTAGGAGTCCATATGTCATTTTTTCTGTAGACAATATCCTGATTTACAAAACAGGACAAAAAATAGATTTAAGAAAATAAATTTTGGCATGTAGCCCATTTGAAGTTGGATATTACAAAATTTCTTACCTGTATGTATATATAGCTTCACCACCCCCTTTAAAAATCTGTGCAGCTTCAGAGAAAGGCTATATTTTCTATTGCTACGGGCCCTTCCTTCTTATCTTGTCTCGAAGGCCTGGCAGCTTCTCCCGGCACCTTTTCACCAAGGGAAATGATTTTATGTGTGTCTTCACTTTCTTCTGTAGTATTTTTTTTTTTTTTAGTTAAGTCTTAATTTAAAAAGAAGGAAGAAAATCTGAGTTTCTAACTGCAGTTGTCCTGTTTAATGCCTTATGTCTTTATATTTGACTTTCTCTTGGAAGGACCCACTCTAATCTTTCCTATATATCCCCCTCCCCTGCGCTTGAAATATTACACGCTCACTTGACACATGCATTCATATGTATTTGTGTATATGTATATATACATATATATAGACATACATGTATATGCACACACACATATATATCTTCATATCTCCCTGTTTTTCTATAACAGTCTTGTTAGTCATTATCTTCAGAAATTTTGAGAGTGAAATAATTACCTCTTCTGTGAAAGTCACAGAATCCCCTAGAACTGAAAATTAAACTACCTATTTAACTGGGCTCTTCAGCTAAACCAGGACTCCTTCTCAGTTTAGCTTCCTTTAATTGTTCGAATATTGGTTTTCTTATTAGATTGCTGGGCTCTAGAAAGGATGGTGTTTTAAAAAGTTCTAAATTAGTCCTTTTGTTGCTGTTTAGTCCCTATATTAGTTAGGATTAGGATCAGCAATGAGTGTTAGCTATATTTTTACAACAATAAAAAGGGAAAAAAAAACAACCAGTGATAAATGACAGACAACCCCCAATAGCAGAGACTTAACCAAGATAGAAGTTTGTCTGTGTCCCACTTAGGAGCCTACATGTGGCAGCCAAACAAGTGAGCAGCTACACAGCGTCAGGGCTCAGGCTCCTTCTATTTGATGCCTCTCCCTTAGTGACCTTCTTTGCAAGACCACCTCGTGGTCGTGGATGGCAGTTCCAACTTAGCACTGTCCACATTCTAAGCAGAAGAAAGGACAAAAAAGAGGAGGATAAAGATACCCCTCCCCTCTTAAAGGGGAGGATAAAAAGCACTCCTCCCCATTGCTTTTGAGTTGATTTTGACTCATAGTGACCCTAGAGGACAGAGTAGAACTACTCTATAGGGTTTCCAAGGAGTGGCTGGTGGAATTGAACTGTCAACCTTTTGGTTAGCAGCCGAGCTCTTAACCACTGTGCCACCAGGGCTTCTTGGAAGAAAGATCTGGTGATTTACTTCTGAAAAATCAGCCATTGAAAACTCTGTGGAGCATAGTTCTACCCTGACCAACACAGGGTCACCTTGACTCAACGACAACTTTTTTTTCACTGCAATAGAAGAAGAGAAAAGTGGATATTGAGGGACAACCGCTATACTCATTCCATCATTAACATTCTTCCTGGTTAAATGTCCAAGCTGGTGAGGCTTATTAGACCAATCCTAACTTGGCTACCTATTGATAGATCTTTTTAACCGCTGAATTGCTTCTCAAAAACTAAAGATATGTGTAATGAATTGTGTAATGAAAACCAGTCCTGTTGTTATGTCACCAAAACCATTCTATTTCTTCTAGCTTTAGGAAATCATCTAGAAAAAAGAATGACCCAGCTATACTTCCTAACAGTGGCTGTCATTGGATGGTCAGGATCAGCAGCATCAGCACCACCTGGGACCTTGTTAGAGATGCAAATCTGGAGCCCTACCCAGACCTACAGAATCAGAAAAACAATAAACGATTCCAAGAGAAGACCTTATTTTCCCTTAGTCAATTTTGAAAGAGGAACAGTTAAATTATATTTGAGGAGGATAAGTTACTTTGTTCCCATCTTGTAATTTACTTGTAATTTCAAAGAACTGGCAAATGCCACAAAAAAAAAAAAGTCTAAAAAGAGGAGAGAAGGGTGATGTTAACTGAATTTTTATGATACTGACATGATTTAATGCTCTAGAACAAGAAGTCTAAACGTGTAGATAAGAAATATGGAAAGAGTGACATATTTTGGAATATAAATGTTATGGTGAGAGGTTGAGGTACATAGTACCAGGAGTCCCACACAGGGATTAAGTTGATCCTCCAAAAGCTTTAATATCAACCTTTGAATGCACAGTTCTGTAAAGCCTAACCCACTGGGCTTAAAGTTTGTTATATTTCAGCATGTGCATATATGTTTCCATGCACTGGGAATGGTGATTTGAAAAAAATATTCACAGTTCTGGTGAGAGCACTGTAACTTTGCTATTGGCCAGCATCTCTCCACTTGGAAAATTACAGAGATTTTATAAGCCTTAAGTAGGTCTGGAAGAACTTCAGAAAAAGTTTAGGCTTCCTGCAAAGCATATTAATTTCCTGAAAGATGACTGGGCTTTGTTTCTTGGGGAAAAACACTTAGTATGCTGTTGAACAACACTACTGTTCTCCAATTAATGGAAAAATTTCCACATTCTGCCCTATTGAGACTAGGGAAGGCAGAAGCAAGGATGGGGCTGCCGTTTTGTGAGGTCTCGTTTATTCCTGTGGTCTTTGGTTTGCTTCTAAAAATGTTGGGAAAGCATCACGGCCTGCATACTCCAGCACTTTTTGGAAAAATTTTATTCTCTGTCCCTCTCTGTTTTGGGCTCATTCTGAAAGATAACTAGAAATAGCTTGTGCTATATTAGAAATTTTAGTCAGTTAAATAAATGGACAGAATCATGTTCTCTGCCCCCTTTCCCCAAATAATACCTGTCTAAAGTACTTGTGGAGCCCTGGTGGTACAGTAGTTAATAGCTCGGCTGCTAATCAAAAGGTCAGCAGTTCAAATCCACCAGCCACCCTTGGAAACCCTATGGAACAGTTCTACTCTGTCCTGTCGGGTTGCTATGAGTTGGAATTGACTAGATGGCAACAGGCAAAGTACTTGTGGAGTCCCTGGGTGGGACAAACAGATAAGTGCTCAGCTACTAACTGAAAGGATGGGGGTTTGGATCCATCCAGAGGCACCTCAGAAGAAAGGCCTGGTGATCTACTTCTGAAAAATCAGCCATTGAAACCCGTATGGAGCACAGTTCTACTCTGACACACATGGGGTTGCCATGCATCAGAATCGACTCTGTGGCAACAGTTTTTTTTTTTTCCCCCAGTACTTGTTACACCTTTGTTTAAAAAAAGAAAAGTCTATGTACTTTTCCAGGTAGGAGGGGCTTTCTTGGAAGGAAAATCAGTATCTATGTTGCCCCATGAAAGAGCTCTAAGGTAGTATAGGAAAAGCCCACAGGTGACTTATCAGCCAAGAAACAGATTGCACCCTTAGTTTAATGGCCTCTGCCCCGAACTCGAGGATAGATCCTGAGCAACTTACCCAAATCCAGAGATGTGTGGAGATTTGCTTGCATCCTCAGCACTGCAGTGTCCATAGTGACACCTTGGGACAGTGGGGACACACATGGATTTGATACCTCCAGTCACTCTCAGAGGTACTGATGTCGTAGGCAGTTATCTTTGTGTCCTCCCTGCCAATTCTTTTCCTTGGGGCTTGGGATTCTCAGAATTCCCTCCCAACCCCCAGCTTTGGTCTTGCCCACTGAGCAGATTTATGCCTTTTTATATACATTAATTCGTCCACTTTATGTGCACACTCTCTCCTTGTCCTTGTCTTTTTTGCCTTTGTGTCAGCATCTCATTTCTTTGCGGGTCTTGTCTTCCCTATTGTTTCCAGAAGCTCCCACCTTTTACTTATTTACAAGCTCTTTCCTCTCTCCTTACTCAAGTGCAGCTGACTAAGATTGAGAGCAGACTGTCCACATTGTCTTAGGTATCTAGTGTTGCTATAACACAAATACAACATGTGGGTGACTTTAAAAAACAAACATTTATTTTCTCACAGTTTTGGAGGCTGTAAGTCCAAATCAAGATCTTGGCCATGTCAATTCCTTTCTGGTCGGTAGCTCCAGGCATTCCTTGGTTCTTTGGTGTTCCTTGGTTTGTAGACAATCCTCATGTGGCATGTCTTCCCTGTCTGTGTGTCTGTGTCCATTCTAATTTTTTTTATAACTCGGAAGTGATTAAGTTTAGTCATACACTGGTATGACCATATTAACATAACAAAAGATAAACCCTATTTTTAAACAGGATTACATCTACAGGTACAGGGTTAGGATTTCAACACATATTTTGGGGGGGCACAGTTCAATCCGTAACATGTCAACGCCCTCCTTCTACCCTCAAAGAAACAGTATTCCAGAAGACACTTCACCTCCTTTGAACCTTGACTCAGACTGATATTTTCCATTTATAGCATTTTAATAGTTCTAGTGTTTAGAAGCTCACTTTGCCCATCTTTAATTCAAATTGTATTTCTGTCACCAAAAATTGATGTGGACAATACTGGGGAAGCCAGCACAACTTGTACAAGGAAAGGTCATGGAAGCTCCACAGACACATCCAAACTCTCTGAGGGACTGAATTGCTGGGTGGAGGGCTGTGGGGACCATGGTCTCGGGGAACATCTAGCTCAATTGGCATAACACAGTTTATAAAGAAAATGTTCTACATTCTGCCTTGGTGAGTAGCATCTAGGGTCTTAAAAGCCTGTGAGCAGCCATCTAAGATGCTCCAATGGTCTTACTCTTTCGGGAGCAAGGGAGAATGAAGACAACAGGATACAAGGAAAAGATTAGTCCAAAGGACTAATGGACCACAGCTACCACGGCCTCCACCAGACTGAGTCCAGTACAACTAGATGGTGCCCGGCTACCATCACTGACTGCTCTGACCGGGATCACAACAGAGGGTCCCGGACAGAGCTGGAGAAAAATGTAGAGCAAGATTATAACTCACAAAAAAAGACCAGACTTACTGGCCTGATGGAGACTAAAGAAATCCCAAGAGTATGGCCCCCCGGACACCGTTTTAGCTCAGTAATGAAGTCACTCCCAAGGTTCATTCACCCTTCAGCCAAAAATTAGACAGCCTCAAGAAACAAAACGAGACTAATGGGGCACAGCAGTCTAGGGACAAGGACTAGAAGGCAGGAGGGGACAGGAAAGCTGGTAATGTGGAACCCAAGGTTGAGAAGGGACAGTGTGGATGTGTCATGAGGTTGTTAACCATCGTCATAAAGCAATCTGTGTACTGTTTAATGAGACACTATTTGTTCTGTAAAGCTTCATCTAAAGTACAGTTTAAAAAAAACTGATGTGGGCAAATGTGCGTATGCGAGTAGCTGGAGGTGCCACTAGGTCTGGCTGATTTATTCCAATACTGCTAAGGTTTTGAAATAGCCACTAACAGTCATACCTCTCTCTCTGTTGCCTTCTCCCTAAAACATAACTTGTTCAGGTGCCATTTTATTTTACAACAAAGCAAACGGAAGCGCTCAAAGCATCTAAAAACCTGCTGCAATCCAGCGAGAACGAGAAACCCAGGGCGTTGGTCTGTTCAGCCTCCTGATGTGTTCTCGTTTTCTATGCAGGCTGGCTACATGTCTGGGATGCTGGTGCCTGTAGGGGTTGGGATAGCTGGAGCCTTGTTCATCTTGGGAGCTCTCTACAGCATTAAGGTTATGAATCGCCGAAGGAGAAATGGCTTCAAAAGGCATAAAAGAAAGGTATGGAACAAACAACAGCAACACCTAATCAGTTCCAGAACATTCTTTGCTTATCTAATTTGCTTAATAAAGCACACGGGGCGTAATGATGCCTGAACAGTATCGACCGGCCCGGCCTCACCTTCATTTGTTAGGGTGTCTTTTCAAGTGGGCCTGTTTCTCAGCTTTGCTCTGTGGCACAAAGAGTTTAATGCTTTTCTGTTTTCTTTTTCTAGCAGAGAGAATTCAACAGCATGCAAGATCGAGTAATGCTCTTAGCTGACAGCTCTGAAGATGAATTCTGAATTGGACTGAGTTTCATTGGGGTAGTCAGTGACGCTATTATTTTATTTTTTATTTGGGGGTAAAAAAAAGAACAAGCTGCCTCATCTCTTCACATCTCAGTCACATTATCTGCTGGGTAGTAGATTTTTCTTGTACTGAGCAGAAAAGGCATGCTGTATACTCAGTGTAACACGCAGTGTTTGTTTTTATGCTGTAGTGAATTTTCTACAACAATGAGCTACAACTCATAAATATGCAGCGTACATGTTCAGTAGGAGTTGCTAGATTAGGTAGAGTAAATATTTTGTATTTTTTCCACAGTGTCTTTTTCCCTGGTTTGGATTACCTGCACTAATATAGTAGTCATTATTGCCACCAAGGCATGCTTGATTTTGCAATACAAATCTTAACAAAAAATAACTTCTGATGATTGCAGTCCAGCTACTTGAAACCATGGGCTTGAGCGCCATGAAATGTATTGCATTTGTATCAAAACTAGCAGTAACTCCGAATGAAACCTTTTTTCGTCCAGAAGATCTCTCACTCAGCACATTAGGAATATACTTAGATTTATATATATCTTGCATTATGTACTTCACTTTCCTAGTTTTACTATTTTTTGCCTTCTGTTTTATCCTCATTCTTGGCAAGGGAAAAAATGTACCAGAAATAGTAACACATTAAATTGACTCTTGATCTTAATGTACGTTTGTTGTCTTAGATAGTATGATTAAGTCCAACTGACCTATCAACAGATTCTAGATGTTTATCATTAGGAGATGTTCTTTTTTTCAGTACCATTTGACTTTTTCAGGAAGAGACTGTGAAGAAATCAAGAAGAAAATGAGGGTAGGTAAACTCCCAGAGGAGTTCCTGGGTGGTGCGAATGGTTAACTTGCTCAGCTGCTAACTGAGAGGTTGAATGAAGGTTCGAGTCCACACAGAGGCACCTTGGAAGAATGGCCTGGTGATCTGCTTCTGAAAAATCAGCCACTGAAAACCCTATGGAGCACAGTTCTACTCTGACACACATGAGATCACCATGAGTTGGAACTGACTTGACACAGTGACTGGTTTAAATCCCAGAACATTTATCTCTGCAGTTTGGCTCTGTGTGGCCACTGATCTGAATTACTTGGAATGTTGCTTTCCCACATCTGTGGTTCTTGGTCATGGAAAGAGTGGGCTGCCATTGGTCCTTATTTGGCTTTTATTTAAAAAGAAAAAAAACAGACCCTCTATGGTAGAAGCAGGCTCAGTGGCCAGAACCATGGTGACCCCAGAGCTCATGGGAAACCAGCTTCTCTCACGGCATCACGCTATGGGGATATTGGATTATGCTAGATTACTTCTCGTTTCCCTTGGAATGTAATTCCCTGCCCTTTGGTTGGAGTCTGGGCATTTGGGACTTGTTGTTAGTTGAGTTTATGGGTAGAGATTTGGGTCATTCCCATGAAGAATATAGGTTACTTGTTCACATTTATTAGAGCATTTATAGAACATTACTATAGTCAAGGCAAGTTGCACCGTTTGTCCTCATAGCTACTCTGTAGGGTAGGACATATGTTTCTATCCCCCCATTTGACTGAAGACAGAACTGAAACAGAGGATTGAAACAATTATCCAAAGTTACATCCAGGGGAGGAACCAGGAATACAACCAACTGAAACTCCAAGCTATGTGCCTCCATCTGCAGTTCAGTGCTCTTTCCACAGACTGCAAGGAAGCGGTGCTATTTTAGAGGCTTTCTTTAAAAACAACGTTATAAGGAAATAGCTGCTGAATCAAGGACTGTTTGTTACCAGTTTCTGTCTTTGTAAAATGAATGATGCCTCACTCATTTCTCTCCTACACAGCTTCTTTCCTTGCCCACCTCACCTATTATAATTGTATCAATTTAAGTATCACTTCTAGAGAACCAATACAGAAACCTTTCTAGAATCCATTCTTAAACAATAGTTGGCTCGGAAGAATGTTTGTATCAAATAATTTTAACTCTTTTGCCAGGAGATGTAAGCAAATGTGCAAAATTGATAAAGAGAGCTGAAAAGCTCTGTACAAATAGAAGTTAGCAATTGGCAAATAAGCTCAAAGCTAGATTTTAAAAATAGAATTCAGAACCATGACACTCCTAAGTAATTTGTAATTTGACAAGTAGAGACAACCTGATATTGGATATGGTATGTTTTCCTTTTCCAATAGCAGCTCCTTGCTGTGAGCGTTCCCAAGGAGCTGTGAGTGTTCCTTAGGTTAGGAGTAAGTGAGCATGGTGTGGCTCTACTGTTCTTGACAAGCTATTTATAGACAATACTCAATAGGCCACCTTACACATAGGTGATACTAATGGCACTAATACCTCGGGCTACTCTTTTTTTTTAATATAGTTTATTTCATTTTTGTTTTTGTTGTTAAGAATATACGCAGCAGAACATAACACCAATTTAACAATTTCTACATGTACAATTCAGTGACATTGATTACATTCTTCGAGTTGTGCAACCATCTCACCCTCCTTTCCAAATTGTTCCTCCCCCATTAACATAAACTCACTGCCCCCTAAGTTTCCTATGTAATCTTTGGAGTTGCTGTTATCAGTTTGATCCCATATAGATAATTCTTAAAAGAGCACAATGCTCAAGGTAGACATTCTTTACCAATTAAGCTAAACTAGTGTTTGGTTTTAAGAAGACTTCAGGGGATATTTTTGATTTAAGGTTTAAAGATTATTTCAGGGCAGTAGTTTCAGGGGTTCATCCAGCCTCCACGGCTCCAGAAAATCTGGGTTCCATGAGAATTTGAAATTCTGTTCTGCAGTTTCCTCCCCTTGATCAGGATTCTTCTACAGAATCTTTGATCAAAATGTTCAGTAATGATAGCCAGGCACCATTCAGTTCTTCTGGTCTCATGGCAAAGGAGACAATTGTTCATGGAGGCAATTAGCCACACATTCCATTTCTTCCTCCTATTCTTCCTCTCTTGCTCCAGGTGAATGGAGACAAATTGTTGTACCTTGGATGGCTCCTTGCAACTCTTAAGACCCCGGGTACTACACAACGAATTAGGAGATAGAGCAAAAGCACTAAACACAATATTAGGCCAATTAACTGGGATGTCCCATGAAACCATGACCCTAAACCTCCAAACCAAGAAACCAAATCCCATGAGGTGTTTGGTTGTATTTAAGAAGCCTGAACAACTTCTCTTTCCTCAGGCTTCTCTTAATCTGTGGTCTTAACTAGACCATGGCTAATAGGTTGAGCTTTCAAACTATAGCATAATAAATCCACAAATAACAGACACATGTTTTCATTCTTCCTGAGGACTGTGGGGAGAACATGTGTGTGAATTTAGGCTTAAACAGAAAGATCTGTGCAGCCCTTTGGGACATTTTTTGGGACACATGACTGGTTAAAGAAAAATAGTTTACTTAGATCACAATAGATTTCTGTACAAACCTGTCTCAGCCATCCATGTTGAGTGGAAAGTCCAGTGGATGGCATAGTGGGTGTGTTTATTTTGGCCATTTTCTTTGCTGCTGTGGAACAGTGGTTTTCAGTGGTTGGTTTAGATTATTAAGGGGATCAGAAAAGGTTGTCATGTTCTGAACAAAACCTGGGATTAGGGGTACTGCCATGAGGTGAAGGCACTGGCCAATCGTTGTACGATAACAGGCACTGGTGAGTTTATCTAGAATATGATTAGTATGCTACAGTTGCATATTAAAAATAAGAAGTCAACTCTTTATTCTAACTTGTTGTTAGCTGTTGTTGAGTTGGCTCTAACTCATGGCGACTCCATATACAACAGAACAAAACGTTGCCTGGGCTTGTGCCATCGTCTTGATTATTGGTATATTTGAGTTCATTTTTGTGGCCCCTGTGTATTCAGAGTGCCTTCCAACCTAAGGGGCTCATCTTCCAGCGCTATTTCAGACAGTATTCTGTTGTGATGCATAGGGCTTTCATTGGCTAATTTTCAGAAGTAGCTCACCAGGCCTTTCTGCCTAGTCTTTCTTAGTCTGGAAGCTCTGCTGAAACTTGTCCACCATGGGTGAACATGCAGGTATCTGAAATACCGGTAGCACAGCTTTCGGCATCATAGCAACATGCAGGCCACCACAGTATGAGAAACTGATAGATGGGCGGTGGTTATTCTAACTACTAAGCTTAAAACATTTAACAGTGAAACATGTAAAGGCTGCTGGAAAAGGGGGTTTGATAGCTTCAGCTTCAATTGCTAACACCTTCCCCTTTAAACTGAATTTTCCCAGCCAGAACTGCTGGCATCCCACTTCAGGGTCAGGGACTGTGGTGTCTTATCCTTGGATAAAGAGACAGTGTTTCCCCAGCTTGCCAGGGGCACTTGTTAAACTTTCAGATTCCAAGGCCCTGCCTCAGACCTATGAATCAGAATCTTCAGGGAAGGAGCATGGGATTCTCATGCTCATGTAAATTTGAAAACACAGCTCGTACAGCACCTATAAGAAAACAGCTTCCTTGTTAAACAGACAAGGGAGAGCAGACCTGTGAGTATAGAGCCTTTTCCTAGTTGGAATAGCCAATAAATCACACCTGCCATAGTGAAGAAGGGAAAATTATGGGAAAGAGAAAAGGGTGGAAGCTACCAGAAAAAGAATGGACCTCTAGGGCAGAGAGAAAGTTCCTCCCATACCCTGTGTTTTTCCCTAATCAGAAGATAATACTTTTCTATTAAACTTTTTTGCTTTTCCTCTCCCATAATCTGCTTCTTTCCATAGCTGTTGGCTTAATTTATGTGAAATATTTGGAGTTAATTAGTATCCCAGGATAACAGATTTCCTTAGCATTGTTTCAAATGCAGTTTCCCAGAAACACTTTCTTAAAATATCTGTTTCTCTTTCATAGGTCAAAAATGTTGTGGGACTCAATGTCATGGAACACTTTATGTACAAATTATTGAATGAGAAACTAATTTGCTTTGTGAACTTTCACTTAATGCACAATAAAGAAAATAAAACCCTATGGAGCAGTTCTGCTCTGTCCCATGGGGTCACTATGTGTTGAAATCCATTCCACAGCACCCAACAACAACAATAACAATGATTCTTGATTCTGGTTGTGCAACAGAATCATCTGAAGAGCTGTGAGAAAAAGTACAGATTCTCCAGCTCCCCCTAGAATTCATGAATCAAAAATCCCTTGAATGAGGTTCAAGCATGGACCCTTACAAAATACTCCACATGGGATTTTGATGCCCAGCCATCACTGAGAACCACTGTTTCAGACTTGTATTAAGGCTGCTTTGTAACAACAACAATAGTTACCACCACCCTCCGTTTATTTAGCATTTCCACAAATCATCTCAATTCACCCTAGGATGGGGTGTTATTTTACTCTTATCCTCATTTTATAGATGATAAAACTGAGATATGGTGAGATCAAAGAACTTGCTAGTTAGGGCTGAAGCTGAGACTGGAACTCAGGACTATAGACGTCATTATTCCTCAGAGAAACCCACAGAGATCATGGGACTTTCAGAGGTCTATGCT